TTAAACTCAACATTCATATTAAAAAATTTTTACCCTCATAGTCAAACTGTTATCAATATATTTGTTATGATATACCTAGTATGTATAAATTATAGTGAAGATTGCGCATTCTCTATCTCAATCTACAATAGTATAAATGTTAAATAGCAAGGGAGCATCGCCATTCATCTATATGGCTCAAGTAGTCACCCTATTCTTTGAGAAGCATAGTGATAGCATCTCTTCTCTAGTAACGTAGAGTTTGAGTCATAGAGTTGACACTTTCTCGTTTCTTAACAACGTTAACAAATACTAATATTATTAGCTAGTGTTATTAATACATTCAAAAAAAATAGCAATGGAGCGACTAGTTTTCAATAAAATAGTAATTAACTTTCTCTTTGACTTTTGATTCTATATATTACGTGCTCTCGTTTTCTATCCCCAGTAATGCATTATGGCTTACCGGATGCCGGTTAGGATTTGGAATTTGGTTACGAGTTAAAGAAAGCTGAATTTAGGTTTCATTAGGCTGAAGTTGGAACAATGACGGACTGTAGGGTTCAGTGTGAAGAGGATACATTCGGGATGAGACTGCAGGTTCTTGTATATTGGAGAAAAGGGCTTACCATGAGAAGGGGCACAAAAAGGCCATTCTAAGGAAACACTCCATTTCCTAGAAGTCAAAGAGGATGTTTGCATTAATTGTTTAAATACAATTGATAATTGATTTTATTATAATTAAGAGTATCTAATCCGTTTGTAGAACTAACATTTGATAACTGTTCTTGTAAAACTTGAAAACACACATACCAAAATTAATCCAGGCTCAAGCGATCCATTCAAGCAGCTAGGAACTTCTAAGATAACCCTCTTGCTGTAGGTTAAAGGTATATTAAATATATCTTTTATCATAAATTTATATTGAAAAAATAAAAATTAATATTTAATTTATCAATTATTTAATTAAATTTACTTAAAACTAAAATTAATATCAATTTTTATATTTTTTTATGTATATTTATAATAAAAATATATATTTAATACAGCCTATGTCTTAAAAACCCAAGTTAAAAAATTTTAATTATTAATTATCACTTATTTAAAAAAAAAGAAAAAGAAAAAAAAAACTAATCCAAGTAGTCTGTACAAATCCAGTGTAGTAGCTCGAGCCTTGGGCCTTGGGAACTTGGATTGCTTAATACTTGGCAATCCAATCCAAGTTACCAAATTACTGGGCCACGAAAGAGCCTAAAGGGCTAGAAATGTTACCGGCCCAAACTAGAGGCACCATTCATTTCTGGGCTCGGAGTTCCGGACTCACACAAACGAATTAATACCAATACATCCCTCTAAACAAGGGAAAGAAAGAAGTGAAGACGGCCCAAGGCAGAAAGAGCTGTAAGTTGGGCTTAGGCTTAGGCTGCGTCTGCGTTCGGAGGGTTGTGGTGGGGCTTTTTTCAATTATATAATAATTTTAGATATGATAATTTTTTTTAATTATTTTTTTATTTATAAAATTATTTATTAAAATATAATTATGTTTAGTTTAATTATATAATAATTTATAACATTTTATTTATATTCAAACTCTATCTAATTTAAAAATTTTATAAAAAGTTAAAAACTCAT